TTAAAATATAATTAACGTACAATATTATATTAGTTTTAGGTGTACAACATTGTGATTTAACACAAATGATTTATGATGTGATCAACAAATAAATCATTAACCATCTGTGACCGTTCAGTTACTATATATTATTGACTGTGAAAACACCAATGCTGTTCATTACATCCTTGTGACCTGTTATTATGTAACTAGAAGTCTGTACCTCTTATTCCTCTTTATCTTTTTCACCCCTCCTCCACCGTTGTCTCCCCTTTTCTCTGGCAACCATCAATTTGTTCTCTGTATTTGTGAAGCTGTTTCAGTTTTGTTTTGTTTGTTGATTGGCTTTATTTATATTCCACAAGTAAGTAAACTCTTACAGTATTTGTCTTTGTCTGACTTATTCACTTAGCAAAACACTTTCTAGGTCCATCCTTGCCTTATGGTTATAATAACTATTCTCCTTAAATATCCCTTGCTGAGCAAGAAATCTCCTAAACAATAATTCATAAATTAAAATGAAACTAAATTAAAAATCTGTGCCACTTCCAAATGGGCTGCATAAATAGGACTATATGGTTTTGACCCCTTAGTAAAATTAGATAATATGATCCAGTGTAAATTAAACGGGACCTTCAAGGATTAGAAACTGTTATGAGACCCTTTGTAGGAAGAAGTGATTATCCTCAGTTATCCTTCGAACAGCTGAATTTGGCCTGTACTTAAACCTGGAAAGAATGAACAACACCTCACAGTGGACAACCACGACCTTGGTGACACCAAATAAGCCTCTGTACCCAATCATATGGAATTTACTGCCTCCATCCACTCAGCAACTGGTACACATTCTGCCATCACAGGTTTGGTCAAGTCTGGTCTGTTCAGTGCCTTTGTCAACAGCCTCTCAGCTGCAGTTGGCCTTCACCTCTGAAGGGACCTCAACGCCATTGCCACCACACACAGTCTCTGGAGGCAGAATCTGAGCTGCGTTTACCTTGCTTCAAGAGAGCAGATGTGACATGAGATTCATGACATTCTCCTTTGGAGACATTCTTTTGACATATCTGAAAAAAGAGGTTCACAAAAGGTGGATGGTCCGTTGCCTGAAACACATGAGAACCTGACGCCTTGGTTACTTAAAAAAAATATTTTAATAAATACAATTCCACAACCTTCCTGAAACCACAGAGAAATAGCCATGGTCTCTCTCAGCAACCATATTATTGTATAGATTCTTTGTGTTTGGGAGGCAACATATTCTTTGTTTACAAAATATACTTGAGCCCATTTGTGCTGTTTCATGCAAACTGCCCACCTTCAAGGGGCACCCCTTCCATCAAAGGCTCTAGGCTATTTAAATTCCCATATAACTGGCTCAACTGGTAGTGTCCTCAGAGACCCCTTCACCATAGAAGCTTCAGTGACCACCTTTCAGACTTCCTGGAGTGACCTATAATGGCCTTAGACTTAATTTCTGTATAGTTCTTTTCTTAGTTATTTTGACTAGCTGTTTATCAATTTTATTAATTTTCTCAGGGAACCTGCTTTTATCGTTTTAATTTTCTATATTGATTTTGCACAATTACCTTGATTTCTTTTCTAATTTATGGTATTTTAAAATTCTGCATACTCTGGGTTTAATTAGCTCTGTTTATTATTTCATAATTGGATGCTTACATTAATGATTATAGACCTTTCATTTATCTACTGTATTTGTTCAATGGCATCAATTACTTCTTGGGCATTGCTGTCATTGCAACCCACAACCTTTGATAAATTGTATTTTTATTTCATGTAGTTCAGAATAATTTTTTATTTTTCTTGAGAGTCCTTTGATTCTGTGTGTTATTTAGAAGTGTGTTGTTGCCTATTTGCATATTTGGGGTTTTTCCTTTTATTGTCCTGTTATTAATTTCTACATTAATGGTTATATGACATGAGAACATACTTTGTATGATTTCTGATCTTTCAAATTTGTTAAGATGTATTTTGTGTCCTAGAATGTGTTCTGTGTTAGTGAAGTTCCATGCGAATTTGAAAATAGTGTGAATTCTGCCCCGTGGCATGAACTGTCTCATAAATTACAATTAAATCCAGTTGTTACAGGCACTGTTGAATTCATATCTGTCCTTGGTGATTTTCTACCTGCTAGAATTTATAATTTGTGATAAGGAGTGCTGAGGTTGACAATGATAGTAATGGAGTCCTCCATTTCTCCTTCTGTTCTGTCAGTTTTAACCTCATGTATTCGGCTCCTCTGTCATGGTGCACATACACATGAAGGATTGCTATGCCTTCTTGGAGAAAGAACCTCTAATTTATTGATATTTTAAATTTAAATCTATATTATTTTAACCAAACTCATCGGGTATATTAATTATAAGGAATACAAAAGATATTTTATCTTTTTATTCCTTTTCTAATTTACTACCTTTATTATTTACACTATTTAATGAATTTTTTATCATTTCTTTCAAAGTAGGTGTACTCGTGACCAATTCCCTCAGTTTTTGTCACTGAAATTAATTATTTTCCTTTATTTTTGAAGGATAATTTTGTTTGACACAGAATTCTGGGAAAGGATTTTTTTCTTTCAAAACTTTGTTACTTCACTCTCATCTTGCTTGCATGGTTTCAGAAAAGAAATTTGATTTAATTCTTATCTTTGTTTCTCTATAACTAAGGTGCTTTTACCCTCTCTGGCTTTTTTCAATATATTATCTTTGTCTTTGATTTTTGTCTGGTTTGAATGTGAGATATTTGGTCACCATATTTAGTGTCATATGAGCTTCCTGGACTGACAGTTTGCCATCTATTGTTGATTTTAGGAAAATCTCAGTGATTGCTATTTCTGATTTTTTCTGTCCCCACCCCCCTTTCAGGTATTCCCATCATGTGTATTTAAACCTGTTTAAAAAAGGTTGTCCTAGGGTTCATAGATAGTATGTTCTGTCTATTTTTTTTTTTTTGGTGTTTGCATTAAACTTTGCTGAAATAGAATTTTATTTATTTATTTTTTTGAGTGCAGGCCATGTATAGAACAGATTATATGTGGCATTTTTTCAAATGCTGTGTCCATTTTCTCTTTGCCAGTTTTGGAGACTGAGTTGTCCTGTGACCTAAATGCTCTGATTGATCTAAGAAGATAAGTTTATTTCAAGCTTTTTTTTGCTTTTCTTCTAGTGAGGTTGGGAATGACAGCCTCTGAGTTTCTTAAATACCGGACCAGAAACCAGCAGTCTCCCAGTCTAATTCTTGATAATTGATGGCTGACAGCTTTGGAGCCTCATCCCTTCTCTTTCCCCCTATGCCCCACATCTGGACAAGGTGATAAGAAAGCCTTAGTGCTCCCTCCTTTGGGGCAGCAGAGATTGAATCCACACAAGTTCCTGCCCTTGTGTTTGAACTCACCCTAGCCCACCCCTAACCCTAATAAAAAAAAAACAAGTCCATGCATTTTCTCTCTCTCTAAAGCTATTTCATGCCTGCCTGAGAAGTCTGCCTTATTCTCCTCCCAGACACAATTGTAGAAGCAATAACCCCTTTCGTACCTGTTGGCTATGTGTGGTGTCATCAGCTGAAGGATTCCCATGCTCAGAGGTTGAGTGATCATGCTCCCTTACTCCCTGAGAGAGTTTGGAAATGACAGAAGAAGGGAAGGAAGCCTCTAGGGCGACTGGTCAGGAAACGCTTCCTCCTTGTTGGGGAATGGAGATATTATGTTCCTTCACAGGAAAGCATTGCTGACACCTTTAGTTATTTTATAATCATGGCAAATGCGCCATCAAACCATTGTGGATGTCAGTAAACTCTCTTGCAATCTGAAGCTTTTGACCTGTTCTTCGGTGTCAAATATTATCATTATGCTGGAAGGCACACTTCTGGCATATTATTATCTCGTGTGTGTGCCCATAGGTGCCAAAAATTGGCTGGAAGTGGTCCTGAGGCACAGGAATATAGGGATTTCGTGGTCTAAGTTGTCATGCCTTCTTGTTTGTATCTGAGCTCTAAGTTCCAAATAACTTTCTAGACCATAAAATCATACAGAGAGAGGAAGGAATAACTGAGTCTGTGTTAAATATTACACAAGGTAAAAGCAGTGCTTCCCAACAAGAATATTCTCATTCAGTCAGCTGTCTCTGATTACAGGCATACCTTGGAGATATTGTGGGTTTGGTTCCAGACCATTGCAATAAAACCAATGATTCAATAACCAAACCTACGAATTTTTTGGCTTCCCAGTGTATAAAGAAGTTTTATTTACATGATAATTAGTCTTATTATGTTTGCAATACCATATGTCTATAAGATCAGTGTACATGCCTTAATTAAAAATACTTTATTGCTAAAAAATGTTAACCACCTTCTGAGCCTTCAGTGAGTCATAATCTTATTGCTGGTGGAGGGTCTTGTCTCGATATTGATGAAAATGCTATTATATCTGCCAAGTACAAGAAAGAGAAGCTCAATAAAATGAGGTATACACACTTTTAATTGTCTGGAGGACTTTAGGATGATATAGTCAGTTATGCTTTGTTAAATGTTGGATTTCCACAGGCCTTCTGGAGTCTTCATTTTTGGCGATGGGAGTAGAAGAAAAAGCTTCTAGTTCTTCACTATGTTTTTATTCTTTGAAACCTCATGCAGATGTGACCTTCTGTTTCATGGAGTGCTATAAATGGGTAATAAGAAGGGACATTAAAGAATTTTTTCACAAGGAATCGATGGTTTTAAAACAATATTTGTTTCATTTGTGTAGTGTTTCTGTCATTTTCTAGCATGTTCTGAACCCTGCCATTAGAGAAAAATATAATATAACGTGATCACAGTAAAAATGTGTTAATAATTTCCATGTGTTTATGATGGTGTTTATTATATAAGGAAGTAAGTGTGGCTAGAGAGTAAGTTATCTCATGGTATATATGTTTGGCGATGACAGAATTATATGTAACCTTCCTATAAATGGAGTATATGTGGCCAGTGCTGTCGGTCCCACAAATCACATATTTGGGGCATTTCAGGACTCTGTGGCCTTTGAGGATGTGGCTGTGACCTTCACCCTGGAGGAGTGGTCTTTACTGGACTCTTCCCAGAAGAAACTCTACAGAGATGTGATGCGGGAAACCTTCAGGAACCTGACTTCAATAGGTAAGGATGTGCAAGTTACCTTCACTTCTTCTATTAGAGGACAAGTACTTTTTACCCTTCAAAGTGTAATGTGGGAAGGGAGAACATTCATAAATAAACTGGGCATGTTCATACCTCATCATAGAACTAGAATCTAATAATTTTTCTATAATTTCTAATACTTTGAAATGATTTTTCTGGGTCTGCATTATAGGTAAAAAATGGGAAGATTATGATGTTGAAGATCAGTGCAAAAACCAAGGGAGAAAACGAAGGTGAGTCACACTCACAATGGAAAGCAATATCTCACTTGAAAATCCGGGTATGCTACAAAATTTGAAAAAGAAGCAAATAGAACAACACTTGCTTCAAATTAATTAATTTTTCATCAAATAACTTTCTTATATATGGCATAAATGTTCAGTGTTTGCAAACTAGTTCACATGAAAACAGCATGAATAAATGCTATATATGAATGTCATTGTTTTGAAAATAGCAAGGCTGAAGTTGTCTTTCAGAGCTTTTAGTGTATTCATTTTCAACCCATATATATAAGGCAGAAAATCTACACTTTTGCTATAAATCACAAAAATTTACTTTAAATATTCTCTAATAAATATAAAATCACTAATAAATTATTAATAATGTGCTTCTTGTTTTTTTACAGAAGTCATATGGTAGATAGAATCTGTGAAAGGGAAAAGGATAGTCAATGTGGAGAAAACTTCAGCCTTATTCCAAACCTCAATCTGAAGAAAACTCTTTCTGGAGTAAAACCATGGGAATCCAGTGCATGTGGAAAAGTCTTCGTACAGTATTCATCTCATAATAGGCACACCAGATGTGACACGGGACATAAACCCTCTGAGTATCAGAAATATGGAGAGAAGCCATATAAATGTAATATATGTGGGAAAGCCTTCAGTTATCTTCAATGTTTTAAAAAACATGAAAGAATTCACAATAGAGAAGAAATCTATAAATGTGAGGAATACAAAAAAGGTTTTATGTGGCTCAAAACTCTTCAAAGACACATGATAACGTATACTGTAGATGCTCCTTATCGACATAAGGTGTGTGGGAAAACCTTTAGTTCTTCAACTTCACTTCAAATATGTGAAAGAACCCACACTGGAGAGAAGCCCTATCATTGTAAACACTGTGGAAAAGCCTTCAGATGTTATAAAAGTTTTCAAAGACATGAAAGAAACCATACTGAAGAGAAACCCTATCAATGTAAAAAATGTAGTAAAGCATTCAGGTATCCCAGTTATCTTCGTATACATGAAAGAACTCATACGGAAGAAAAACCCTATAAATGTAAGGAATGTGGAAAAAGCTTCAGATCATATAGTTCCTTACAACCACATGAAAGGACTCACACAGGAGAGAAACCATATGAATGTAAGGAATGTGGAAAAAGCTTTAGTAATTATAGATCCTTACAAATACACGAAAGGTCTCACACTGGAGAGAAACCTTATGTATGTAAACATTGTGGTAAGGCATTCAGTGCTCCCAATTATCTTCGAAAACATGAAAGAACTCATATTGCAGAAAAATCTTATGAATGTAAGGAATGTGGAAAAGCCTTTAGATTTTCCAATTCCTTACAAACACATGAAAGAACCCACACAGGAGAGAAACCCTATGAATGTAAGGAATGTGGGAAAGCCTTCAGATCTTCTGGTAACTTACAAACACATGAAAGAACTCACACAGGAGAGAAACCCTATGAATGTAAAGAATGCAGAAAATCTTTCAGATATTCTAGTTCCTTACAAATGCATGAAAGGATTCACAAAGGAGAGGAACCCTATGAATGTAAAAAATGTAGTAAAAAGTTCAAGTATCCTAGTAATCTTCGAATACACGAAAGAACTCACATTGCAGAGAAACCCTATGAATGTAAGGAATGTGGAAAAGCTTTCAGATCTTACAGTTCCTTACAAACCCATGAAAGGACTCACACAGGAGAGAAACCCTATGAGTGTAAACATTGTGGTAAAGCCTTTATTTCTCGAAAATCTCTTCAGAGACACATGAAAATGCATACTTGAAATACACCCTATCAATGTAAGGTGTGTGCAAGCATTCACTTACCTCAGTTTATATGAAAGGCATAAAAGAACTCACATTGGAGAGAAATCCTATGAATGAACACAATGTGGTAAAGCCTAGGCAGAGCACAGTTCCTTATAATGACATGAAGTACTCATACTGGAAAAATTCCTGTGAATGTAAGGTATGTGGAAAAGCCTTCATTTATAAGAACATCCTTCAAAATCACAAGATGAGAGTGCACACAGTAGAGAAACCAAATAAATGTAAAGAATGAGGGAAAGCCTTCAGTCATCCCCCTTCTGAAGTTGTGAAAGTATTCACTGAACCACAGCTCTTGAATGTAAATAGTATGGGGAAGCCTTCAATTGTCCCATTTCCTTATGTGTAAAATTCCCACTAAAAAGAAGTGAAAATGTAAATAACATGAGAAGGGATTGATGGAAATTAATTTATGTATAATTTTCTAGAAAATTTTAACAATAAAGTGTTTATATTAAAATTTCTACCACAGTAGACCCTTGAACAACACTGGGGTGAGGGGCATCAACCGCTTGCACCATCAAAAATCCACCTATAACTTAATCTGGTCCTCTGCATGCACAAATACCCAATTTTGTATGTGATTTTAATCTGAGTATAAGTGGAACTGTGCAGTTCAAACATATTGTTCAAGGGTCAACTGTAATTACTTTCAGAAACATTGAGGTGAGATAATTCTGTGAGTTGTCATTCAACAATAGCACATAATATTAATAGGTAGTGATTTTTCATTAAATCAGTTAACATTATTTCTATATTTTGAAGGATGTTAGATCCTGGGTTAAGTTAATTGTATTTCTGCCATGCAATTAAGTTTAATTTTCTATGATGTTTATTTTGTGTGTGTGTTAAAGGGCCATTGAAAAATGACAGTTTGGTATAATTTGGGATTTTCCTATAGACCTCATGACAGTTCTTGCATATTCTTAGTTTATTATATATATTGCCCCTTTCTTACTTAATAAGTTCCTTTTGAGGGTGATGGGTATGAGTCTTTTCCCATTTTCCATTCTTATAAACAGTTGGGGTAAATTTTTATGTGTGTCAAGTTTACAAAAGAATAAAGTTTCATGTGAGTTATTTTCATATTTGATCTTTTTTTTTCTTTTGACTGGCATTTGGCAAATAAATTTTAATTTCAGAAGAGAGACCTGTGATAGGACAAAATATCTAGAGTTGTAGATATCCCTCCTTTTGGTAATGTTATGAACTAGATTTTCCAGAATTCATTTTTCTCTGTGGTTCCATATTAGAATTTACCCATAGCCTCACTTGCATGAGATTTGGAAGGCAGAAGTGAAGAAGGCATTAGGCAGATATTGGAGCCATCATACAGAGGGAGAAAGAAACAAAGGGGCTTCAAGGACACCATTTTCCAGCTGACTTTTTTGAATTCTTTACTTTTCAATTAAGTGTATGTTTAATACAACATACACTGGTTGATTTCCATTTTCTTAGAGGTATAGTTTTTCACTGATGTCTTCACAAGACCCACATCAAAATTCGGCTCTCTTGTGTCCACCAGGAAACTATTTCAGTTCTTCATACTTGTGAACATTCTCTGAATCCTCTCTTTTCTAGATTATATCAGTAAAAGGTCTAACTTGTATAGGAAACACCTTATGCTGTTAACAGTGCAGTGAGCATGTTTTCCTGATTGACCATGATATCTACAATGGGGCCATCAACAAAAAGGACCATAGGTGTTTGTTTCTCTGCTGCATGTGCAGAGGCTGCCTTGACCCAGTCCTTCCATGAGAGAATAAGCATCTTCCTCCTTTCAGGAAGACTGGGTGTTTCCTGTTATTTGTAGCTGAATGTAATCCCTCAATATACTTTCAGTAGTGTTTGATTGTATGTGATTAAAAGTATATGCATTAAAAAAATAGTATTTGCTTTTTTGGTTAAATGAACACTTCTGTAGTTGTTTCATACAAATATTTAATTGACTGTTCAATCCATAAAATGCTAACAAATACTGTATTAGAGGGTGTGATTCCTATTTAAGAAAGCAAGGCCTTTTTCTGTGCTAAATGCTGTGAGGAGGTAAACTTTATTCTGTCATTACCAATCATAATATTGGGTTTCTAGAAGGTAAAAACAATATAGTGGAGCTAACCTGAATTTGTAAGAAGCTCTGGTCAGTAATATTAGTATGAAAAGGGGAATATTGGCCATTGTTATGATTTGGAACTATATTCTTTACCATTTTTAGACATGTCCTTATAAAATAGCATTATAAATGTCTTGGGACATTATGGTCACTGCACGGTGTGTGACATTTTTCTATTCAGTAAGATAAGACTTGGCCTTGCAAAAATTGTAGGCCAGATACTAGCTTTCTGCAACAGCTTTTGTTTTTTCTTACTTACTATCTAACAGTGATGTATGTTTGCAGTATATTAGATACCATTTAGCATAAAACACCTCAATTAAAAAATATAAATTCATTTAATATACTACATAATATACTTAATTAATATCTCTTTTGTGACTCAACTGAGACCTGTGTTTTTAAGTTAATTGTAAGAGAACACAAACCTAGGCGCCTCAGTGAGTGACAATGTCATAATGTTCCCTTGAATTTCTACCATGCAGTATATCTTACACACTTTAAGGAACTGTATGGGTGTGGAAGTAAGTAGACCACAGCAACATAGAAAGTCCTGTGTTCCTGTGATTAACAATAAAGTTTCCCCTTAAAGATACAGATACCATTTATTTTCATTTTTACACTTGATGAAATTTTGTTATAGATTGTCACCACAGATTTAAGAAGCAAACCATGATCTAAATATATGCTATGTACAGCACACTCTAGATTCAAAGATACAAATAGGTTGAAAAAAAAAAAAGCATGGTGAAGATATACCTATGAACAGCACTATAAGATAGATAGAGAGGTGATACAATTATCTGGCAAAATAGACTTGAAAACAAAAATATTAGTAAAGATATTGAGGGACATTATATTATGTTTAAATGGTCAAAGTTTATGGCTTGCATCTAAAGCAAAACATAGAAAAGTGTTTGTAACCATTAATGACTATACTAGAAAAGAAGAAAAATCTCAAATCTATAACTTTATATTTCAACTAAACAGACTTGAAACAATGAGGTACCAAATCCAAAGCAAGGAGAAAAGGAAATAATAAAAATTGAGCAGAAATTCATGAAATGAGGAATGGAAAATCAATGAATCCAGAAATGGGTTCTATGATAAGATTGACAAAATTGACAAATTTTGGTCTACAGAAAAGGAAAGATGATTCAAATTCATATAATCCAAAAGAAAGAGGGCTATAGCTGCTGAAATTATAGAAATGAAAAGGATCATAAAGGAATTCAATGGACAATTGCATGGCAATAAATTAGGTAACTAAGATGAAATGGAAGAATTTTTAGAAAGACCAAAATTACTGAAACTAACTCATGAAAGATGGAAAATATGAATAGAACTCTAACAAGTGGAGTGATTGACTTCATAAACAAACAAACAAACAAACAAAAAACACTCTAAGCAAGCTTAGGCTTACTTGACTGACTTAATTGACAAAAATCTAGTATTGTTTTATGATTAAAACACTCAGCATACCAGGAATAGAAGGAAAAATTTTAACCTCATGATAGAGGAACATCTATGGAAAATCCACGGATAATATTATATTATTGGTGAAAGACTGGAATGCTTTTCCCTGATGTGAAGATATGGAACCAAAGAAGGATGTCTGCTCTTGTCACTTCTATTCTAGAGTGTAATGGAAAGTTTAGCCAGAACCATGGGAAAAAACAGGGAGTGGGAGATGAAATGCATGCAGATAAGTTAGGAAGATGTAAAATTATCTCTATTTCCAGATGAAGTATCTTGTTTTCTTAATAAGTCCCCCCAAGATATGGCATATTGGCCTATTGATTATTTTGATTTAAGGTGCTTGAGATACAGCTACTGCCAGAAGGGCCTTCGGACCCTCCTTTGTCCCTTTGACAGCAGGAGATGAATCTCCCATGTGAAAGGTGCCCTCCTTGCACCAGGAGAGTAGACAGCATCCTTATCATCAGAGACAGAAAATTTAGCACTGAGAAGGCTGTATAAAAAAACCTTATTTCTTCATCATTTGGTAGCCTTTCCCCCTCTGCCTTGTCAAAGTTATTGCTTCTTTGTCCAAAAGGTATAAAGGCTTCCTGTTCTGGTCATTTTTTAAATTTTTTTGAGTCTCATTGTTTTATGGGGCTCCCATACATAGGAAAGTTTTTCTTTTGTTATTCTGTCCTACATCACTTTAGTTTTTAGATTAGCTGTAGAAAGGAAGAAAGAAATAATTTTGTCCCTATACTTGCACATAGAAAACTCTAAGGAGTCCACAAAAGAGTGAAAACTGATAATTGAGTTCTGCAATGTAGAAAACAAGATTAAAATATAAAAATAGATTGTATTTCTACATATTTGCAATGAACAATCTGATAATGCAATAAAAAGACAAATGCATTTACAAAAGCATCAAAGGAAAAATACTTAGGAAAAAATTTACTAATAAAAGTACAAAACAAACACTATGAAAACAATAAACATCATTAAAAAACTAGTAAAGTTATAACTGAATTGGAAACACCCCACTTTCATGGATCAAAAGACTTAATTTTGTTGAAATGTCACTGTTCTGCAAAATGATCTGGAGAGTCAGAATACCAGCTGATTTCTTTACAGAAATTGGCAAGTTGGTTTATAAACTTGTATGGAATTGCACAGAATCAGAATAGCCAAACCATTCTTTAAAAAAACACACATTAGTTGGACTAACATACCCTAATTTCAAAACTTTGTATGAAGAAATAGTAATCAAGATAGTGTGGTACTGACACAATGATAGACATACAGATCTATGGAAGAGATTAAGATCTGAGAAATAAACTCGCACATCTATGGTCAATTGATTTTTTTAAGTGCCAAGAATAAAGAAAAAAAATTTCTCGTATAAATTGGTGCTGAGCCAAGTAGATAACCATATGGAAAAAAAAGTCGTGTACTTATATCACATCACATACAATAATTTACACTGAACATAAGAGAAAAAATATAACACACTTAGAAACAACCTAGGAAAATTTTCCTGACCTTGGATTTGACAAAGAATTGTTAGATATAACATTAAGAATAAAATCAGAAAAAAAGATAATTTGGTCTTCATTACATTAATGAAACAAATGAAATGAAATA